ACCTATGATGAAACAACGATGGTTTTTGCTGTTTACATCAGTTCACACAGCTTTTTAAGTTTTTAATGCCACCTTTTCACAATTATCACGGGTTTGAGTAAATAAAATTTAAATTAAACTCACAGGATTGCAATAATTACTTTGAAAATGGACGCCTTAAACACTTTTCGGATTTTTTCAATGAGGGCGGCTTAAATTTTGATGAAAGATTTTATAATTTTTGCTAAGTTGAAGGATTTTATAATTTCTGTCCTTATTTGGCGGTTATTCTTAGCAACCGCTATGGCAGCGCCCTACAACGTATGCGCTCCAAAACAATTATTATATGTTTTGGCGGCAAGCCGAGCATTCCAATCTAAACTTGTTTTCTTTATCTATGGGCGTTTTTTTAACAAAAAACTGAACTTGATTGACAGTAACCGTCAATTTATAAACAGGTCATTTAATACACTAGTAAATGTAGTGGGAACTATCGAATGAATACTATCGAAACATTCGATAGTTGCAATTCATTCGAATAATTCGATAGTTAGTAAGAAAACATTCGTTGAAAACTATTCGAATAAAAATTATCGAATAGATCCGTCATCTGCCTTGAAATATTGTATTCTAGTAATTCGGTAGCAAAAACCATTCATTTATAAAATTCATTCATTTATTCGTCAGGATCGATTATAATAAAATATTAACTGAATTTTAGTTGTCGCCCGGCGACGTAGGTTTCTTTCCGAGAAACCCGACAGCGGCCGGTGGCAATGCTATGAAAGAAGCCGGCATCTTTGAGTTTTTGCGGAGTCAGATATAGATAAGGACACATTATTTTTTTTTATCGAAGTGCTAGTATTTACACAGAAAATACATTATGAAGGGCGCTGTTGTCATATTTTGGTATTAGTTGATATTAGCAAAGAATATTGTTTGGCTTTAGTTAGTTAGGGATAGTATGTCTATATATTCTGCATTTTTTTATTAATATTCTGTTGTTACACTGCAATAATACTTGTTATTTTGGATGTAGGAAAATGATTTTTAATGTTTTTAAGCAAAGACTGGTTTAATAAATAATAATAACAGTAATAATTTGTTATACCTATTAACAACAAAATTTAAAATCATTTAATATAAATATTTTTTTTATGTAGTAGCAAAATATAAACAAAAAATTAGATGTCAAAATTATTTATATTAGATCCTATTTAAAAATAATATAGTCTCTAAATTTTTTGTGTGTGGCAACGTTGGTTTATTAAATAATAATAATTAAATAACTAATTTGTTATATTAACAACAAATTTTAAAATCATGAAATATAAACATTTATTAATTTTCTAAGCATGTAGTGTAATGGAAGGAAAATATAAATAAAAAATTAGAAATCAAAATTATTTATATTAGGTGCTTTATATTACTATTTAAAAATTATATTTACTTTTACTGGCATTTACTTTAAAAAATAAATGAAATATTTCTTCGAAAAAACTACATGTAAGAGAATTAGCATTAACAAAATACAAACATCGTTAACTTTTTTTTTAAATTGGCACGTGTAAAACTTTCATTTTAATTTTCTCACCCCATAGTTTGAGTTCGATAACCCCATTTACTTAACCACATTACTTAAATATGATTATTAAGTTCAACTAATTCATATTATTAAAACATCTAAAATACCAATATGTATTTTTAAAATTAATTGTAAGTTCATCTCATCTCTCTTAAAAATTGCTACTTCTCAAAAGTTCCTATTAAAAAATAGCCATATACCATATAAAATTAAATAATCGAAAGATCGGACTACGGAAAACCACACAAATTTTCGGAAAAATTTTGACCACCTGCACATGCACACAATCGTCAATAAATAAAATTAAAAAATAACTACTATTTTAGTATTTTAACTATTTTAATAAACGCAAAAATAGCACAGTATTTATACGGCGAAGTTATAATAATTTGGAAGAACTAATAATGCACTGACGCATACAAAAATCAAACGAATACTAAATTTCATTTATCAAAAGCATTCGATAGTCGTGGCTCAACGATAACCATTTAGTCGCACGGCGAGGTTGTCACATATGCTTTAGTATACAAATGAATGAATGATTTTATTCGAATAAAACCATTCGATAGTTGAAATCATTCATTCATTAACCATTCGATAGTCTAATTCATTCGATAGTTCCCATCGCTAACTAGTAACCTGGCAACAAAGTTCCTACCAGCAGCCTTAATACAAATTACAAATATACCGGAAGATTAATAAATGCAACATTTGTGTCGTTTTAAAATGGGACGAAATTCAGTAAGAAATAAATAATGTACCACGGAAATTATAGTGTTAATAACCCCGGGCAATTATTGTCCCTCGGGCCATGGGCCCTCTATCTTTTAAGGCTCTAAAGCTCAGAAGAAAGCTACATATAACGATTTACCTGTTCATTAAAAATATACTCAGTATCAAGAAAAATATTGTGTACAGACGAAAATCGGAAAGATTAAAATTTAGTTTAATTTGATTTATGTATTAATCGTGAAAAACGGACTTGCGCCTCATGAAAATGAAAATTGTGCCTCATAATTTACCATAAAGTTTTTACCGTAAGACTTGCCTAACCTTTATCTGACCTTCCTGCATTTTCAATGGATTATTTTGAATTTTTAATGTTAACCGTAGTAGTATGATGTAAGATTCACACGTATGTGTTTATACGACACACAGTTAAAGTCACAGTTCAATAAAATTTGCTTTATACAATAAAAAACCAAAAAAAAACATTTAAAAATTATTAAATAATACAGACGACACTAGATAAGCAGTAAATAAATATAAAATTTAACACAATACAATGACAAACAAATTAAAAAAAAGATGTAATTGAATTTGTAATTTAATGAGTATTTTGAACGATGAGCGGCATTGCTTTGAGAATCTAAAGGTCGGTCACTATAATAAAAAAATGCATGCATGTCGCCAAGCAGACTACACTCATTCTTATCTGAAAGCATATATACAGTAGTTAAGTCAAAAGGTAAACTGATTAAAACAATAATTATAAAAGTAGATACATATATGTTTTTAAAATGTCTGCTGTCGCAGTTTCATTTTTCTTGGTCGTAAGTTCTGAGAAATTTCTTCAAGTGTCTTAAACCTTTGGGGGATTCCGGGGGATTCCCATTCCAGGTTACGAATGGAGTCTTCAGGTTCTTGAGTTCCGCTTTAAGTTAGTTTTCATGTGGAAAGCAGAACGGTTCTGGTCCAGTTAGTGAAGTGTTCTTTTTCTAGCTAGATCGTTTGCTTTTTTATTGCCTCCTATCCCTTGGGTGGGCTAGCACCCAGAGTAGGAGAACTTTATTATCTTTGCCTAATTTTGTCAGATTCTCTATGTATTCTTTGATCATCTTCGAATTGATGGTTATTGGCTTTTAAACTGCATGTCTATCAAATAAGATAGCTATTTCTTTTTCCGATAGTTGCTAACTAAGATAAGTTGTAAGGATGGCGATGTAGGTGCCTACTGGTTCGATTTCTTTTTGGATAAACTAATTTATGCGTTTTATTATCAAAATATATTACGTGCACCTGACATAACTTAAATATTTTAGAATACACTTTATTTAATTAATTTACTTCTTATTTCTCATCTCATTTTGATTCATTTTAATTTAAATATCGTAAAAAAATCTTTCTAAAAATACTTTCGATACTAAAAAATTGACAATACTCGAGTAAAGCCTGAACTAAGCCAAAACACATCCTTATTTTAGATCACTTCAGCCTCAACAAAGTTATAATAACGTTTTGATACCAATACATATTATTTTATCGAGTGTGTAAACAAAGAGATGTTAATAATGATTATTATGACGAGCTCAGAAATGAACAGATTTTTATTGTTATTTGGTTTATCTATCGTCAATACATGATTTGTTAATAACAAGTCTGGCAGTTTGATTAAAGAAAGATAATCAAACAAACATTCTGTATTTTTCAAATAACTAATACATACAAAAAATACATTCTTACTTCAGACCCTAGAAATATTTTCATTATCACTTTTTAATTCAACTATTTAAGAAAGTGAAATAACCTGCCTATATAAAAATAAAACCAAACCAAACCAAACAACCAAATTCAATCACTAACTATGTTTTGAAGCGGAGAATCGATTGCAAAAGTCATTAACTACGATTTCTGGCTATTTATGTTTTATTTTAATACCGAATAGTTACTAATTATAACATCTGTATGCAATGCAATTCATCTTTAGACGCATTTTTCTCGGAAGTAATAAAAAGTAAGTTAGTGACTTTTGGCAGCAATGGGACGATATTTCTTTAAATTAAAAACATTCAGTTTCGGGACACTCTGTATACATAAATAAGTATTGATTTTTAAAATGTTTATTCGCAAACTAGGTAGAGGGCAATCAGACAACGAACAAAAATAATAGGTGTTAGGTAATAGCTTTTAGACTACAGTTCGAGACGCGTTGATGTTATTTTTGTTTGCAAATTTTGGTTATTGTGAAAAAGAATGTTATTAAAGGTAAAGTAAATGTTTCCTCATTATTTAACTAATGTTAACTAAATCATATTATTTTGTTTTCCTGTTGTAATATTCTGTGCTAAAGTTTCTCCTGATTTATTTGATCTTTTGGTTGCCTTTAACTTGTGAAGTCCAGGCAGAGTACGGCACTCCTTTCATCTCATTTAATAAAATAAGTAGGGCTATTTACAAATTTAGCGCTTGATTTACATAACCTATATTCTCAAATTGCCCTAATATTGCTTCTGTCAATCAAATCGTCAAATTTGTGTTTCAAATCAAAGCCACAATAAAATATATTTTTAAAAAATTGATTGTTATATAGTTGACCAAAATATTTCCTCTTTAACTTTTTCTTTGAACGACTCTGGGTTGTTATACTACAATATACATAATATTTTTAGTTATTCGTCAACTCTAATGGAAAGTAATATGAATGTATTTATTTCAGGCTCCATTCGAGGTGCAAAAGAAACTGGAAGAAGTTCGCCTGTTGGAATCGAGGAAATCAGCAAGACTGGCCGACCAGGATACTGACTTCGCTCGTTTGGCCGACATGGCAGGAGATAGAAAAAGAACTGCCTCGCACACCATCGATGTTCCAGCCCCATCATATCATGGGTGAGTAGAATCTTTTCGGTAGAAATCCAATTTTTCAATGTTCTTAATATGTAATTATTACGCAACCAAGAAAAGCATTTCTTAGTCTAATAACGGCCTTATAACCCGAAAACCCAAATTTCTTCACAAGCATTTCTGACTGAAAAAATAAAAATGCTATTAGGAGTAGCATTCGCTATTCGCTCAATGATACCTTCAATACTTACTACAAACAGGGTTACTATAGTTCATATCAAATAAACTTTTAGTCATCCATCCAGAAGGACGAGCCAAAGCCTAGAATTGCACCGGATAATCAGGCCAGATTTCATACATATTATTTTTATTAACTCATTTCAAATCTATTTACTTATTGTTGACGAATTACGTAATTAATTATGTAATTATTAGATATCATTTTTGAATTTCATTATTAAAATATAATTTTCTTAATTTTAAATATACAAATTTTTATATATTTTAATATCTTGTCAAGTATTTTGTGATGGTGTCACTTGACATATTTATTTAATTAACTTTTGATTGATTTACGGAATTATGTGCGCATACAATAAGGTTCATGAACTGCGTTAGTTTGAGGTATTTAACTTTATTTTGCCTAATTTAATATTAATATGTCAATGATTTTTAATCAACAGAACAAGTGATACTTTTTTTATGTCATACATTTGAATTTTGATTACTTATTATTCTTAAGAATAATAAGTTCAATTCAATTAAGAATAATAATTCTAAAAATGAAGTTGATCATTTCATCCAGTTTTATGTCTCCAAATCTATATGAGAGTCTATATCTTTTAACTCAAAACACTGTTACTATCTACCTATTTATTATTCAAGTTATGAACGTGCAGCGTTCGAATCACTAATTGTTTACATCATCAAAAACGCTTTTGCAAACATCGAGTGACAGATGATGGATGAGCTAATGACTTTGGATAGTTTCTCTCACTCTTGTATTTCGTCTGTTTGGTTTTGGTTGAATGTCTTTAAAGGTCCATCAGTACATGGACCAACAGTCTTTACCTGCCAGTCTTAGCTGTTCAGTCAAAACGTATCAAGTAAAACTTTGTGTGTATAAAGCCGGTTTCACACGATGCACTATGGTTTCTAGAAGGTACTTTTTTGGCCAAAATTAAACAACTTACATTTAATGGAAAATATTGACTGTAAATTTGTGTTTTTAATAAAATAACAAAAGACTAATAAAATGAAGTTATTTTTAATCTTCTCATTCAACGATGATTAACTTTTACCTATGAAGCATCTTCTGTATCAGGTTCGAAAAAAGAAAGTTGATGAATCATTGAATTACTGCTGTCCAAAAAACATTCTTCTTTAGAAATATCTCCTTGCTCTTCTTCTTCTTGCTCTTCCTCCTCGTATTCCTCTTCTTTTCCATGCTTCTCTTCAAATTGTTCTTCACTTAACTTCTTTTAGATAAAGTCAGGTACACGAAGTAGGTTAAGTACATCAGCAGGATAACTAAATGTACAAAGCAGCCTGCACAAGTAAAGCCCAATCCTGCATATGTTCCTCGGAAACTTTTGAGGCCATTCTTCTCTGGGTTCTGGAAGATTGCTCCGAAAAAGGTAATCGTGGGCGGCCGGCAGATGATGTGGATGGAAGGGGTTTATTTAACTCAAGGATAAAATCCTCCTTTAACCAGTCTTCATTTTGTTTAAAAATAAATTTTTAAGCCGCGAAACCGCCTGCTATCTGTTTTCAAAATTTATACAAAGGCGATTTATCTTTTTTTCCATTGTGCCTGAGAGTTCTTGTTCATTATTCTGGAATTTCTGTCTTGCAAAATTTGAAACATACCCGTTTTTCTCAACTTTATCGGCCCCTTGTAGCCATTTTTCCAAAAAGATCAATTTTTTTCAATCGATACATAGCTGAAAAAAAAAATTCTTTTAAAAAAAAGGTTGCAGCTAGTAGCAGCCAATTTTTTCTTTGATATGTTCAGAAAGGATTGTTTCAAATTTTACAATAACATCTAGCATGGAGAAACATGGAAAATTTTTTAAGTCAAACTAAACTTTTAACTTTTTATTTATGTTCTGTCTTAAACTCATTATTTTTAATTAATTAAAAAATAATGGACGCTGATTCTTATGTGCAATTGTGAGTGATTTCTTAAAAATACATACCATAAAGTGTAAAAATAACAGTAATCCGTTTTTATATCCCACTGAAACATATCACTTAATATTCACCAAAACTTCCGAAAATAAACAACAACTATATAGTAAGTAGTACACAAATACTTCACTAGAACGTCTAAATATAAACTAAGTTATAAGGAATAAAAATGAAAACTAAACAAAACTATATGCATGTAGTCTTCTTCATTTGTATATCTGCTTGCATTCCACTTACAAAAAAAGTCCATATACAGTGAGTCTAAAATATATATTTTGGCCAAAAAATTAGCTTCTAGAAACCCTAGTGCGATGTAGCAAATACATTCCAACGTTGGACACGTGAACATTTGCCACATCGTGTAGGAGACACCCTTGTCAATTGTAATATTGTGGAAACCTGTGACAAATATTGGTTACAATGTTGGAACCAACGTTGGACGTATCGTGTATGACCGGCTTAATAAAAAATCTGTTCGTTTAACTTAAAGATAATTAATTATAAGAAGTCTTTCAAGAGATTTTTTTTATTATGAACATTTTAAAAGAAAAACCTATTCTTCATAAAAGTATTTACTTGTTCTAAAATAATTAATCCCATTTATAATTTTTCAAATATCCATACCAGTTTAAAAAAAAATACAGTTAATTATTTAAATGGCAAAATATATGACGTTAATTTTAATTAACGTCATATAATTTGCCATTTTAAAGTATTAAAGCACAAAATGTATAATCATATTTTCCGTAGAATTGAACCAAATAAATTTTGTGCTTCTTTAACATACAGCAAAAAATATATGGCGTTAATCAAAATTAATAATAAATATCTATTAAAGAATGGACACATAAAAATAATTATATTACCATAGAAATTGAGGAGCAGCATTTTGAGGATTTAGAAAAAATTCAATTGCATCTTCTCTAAAAATGGTATGGCAATTTTGAAAAATATAAAGGGGACTATTTGAAAACAAGCAAAAATTTTCTCTTGTAAAGACAATCCGGGGACATACTGTATATGTGTTTTAATGGCATAATATACATATCAATAGAAAACACTTTTTAAAGATCTTATTATAGCATCTCGAATGTATACATTCATACATTTAATACTCTATTAAAAGAAATATTATCCGCTAGATTGGTACAAATATAAATAACAATTAACAATGCTATTAACTGAAAAAGCTTCGCTATTAATCTTGTATGCCGTACGATCTTTTTTCCTGTGTGTACCGTTAGTTAAAATGGAATAAGCGGAAGTACCAGGCAGCATGTCCAACGTTCAGTAGTACGCCGTGGTACTACGTAAATAAATTTCACGACTTTGAACATGTGTACCGATTTAATGGACCTATTTGAAGTCAGATATATATTTCGATTCTAATAATATTTAAGTTTAAAAGTTATACAATATATTTACATAAAATTTCGTGCCATTTACAGGTTTTCTTGAAAAAAGGTAGAAAAACCTAAAAAATATAAATGATATTTCAAGAATCAAAACTCAAACTAAACCCAATCAACAAAAATGCTTTAAACATAATTATTTAATAATTTTTATTATTGAGATATACTTTCAGATATAATACCTATCAGACTTGATTTTCAACTTTTACAATTTTCCTGTAACGTTGCGTAGATTTTCTTTCCTTTTATTAAGAATAATGCTTATTATCTGGATGGAAGATCTTAAAACAGCGTGAGATTTGCTTGAAAATAGCCGACAATATATTGAAGCGAAAGAAAGTTATTAATGGTCCATTCATAATTTTGTTTGTTCCTCATGCCCCTGGGAACTCACAGCCATTTATATCTTTATAATTTAAACACAGTTAACTATTGTGATAGATTCATTATTCTCCAAGTAAGTTTTTGAAAATATTTTGGGTGTATACCACCTAAATTGTCGAAAATTTGAAGTATTTTTTACAAAATTTACACGGAAATAATAATAAATTAACCATAATACACCCAAATACTTTTAGGTGTATTGTGGTTACCATATATTTTTATAAATAATTATTATATTTTCTTAAAACTAAAGACTTTTTAATCATCTGCTAATGATGGAACCAAAGACATTATAAAGATAGATCGAACATCTCATTCATAAATACTCGTTGGAACTGTATCAAACATTCCAATGTGTCAAACAAGGACAGAAGAGACAGAGAAGTCTAAAATTTCCGACCCCGGCAACTAGGCGCATTTGGATTGATCTAATGGCCAGTGGCGTATCGTTTTTTGGAAGGAATTTAATTAGTAAAGTAAAAGTAAAGTAATTAGTAAAATTTTTACTCCATATTAATATACTACATTAACACTTTTTTGTCAGATGAGTTTTGTTGTAAGGTCTAATATAATAATATAATTAATATCCCATATATACTTATGTTGAAACGTTAGTAGGTAATTTTCGAAAATCGCTCCAACGTCGATTTTCAATTTGAACTTTCAGTAACTCTAGGAAGAGGTATTTGTACGGTGGTAAAAAATTGTCTAAACAAGGCCGAAGGGGCAGATATAATAAAGCAGTAAAATGTAAAAAAGGTCGGGTAAACACCTTTGTTTATTTGTTGAGCAAAATTCAACAAATATAATTAATTATTTTAATTGTAAGGGGCTCCCTTGTAGGACGCCCATGTACAATTACGGCGGAAATTTGTACCTACCTGTGAAAAGACAAATTCGGGTAATTTGAGCTTATTTTTCCACACACTTGACACTGTCGTACCATACTGAAAATTCTCAGATTCAAAAGTACGTTAAACAAAAAAAAAACTACTGAAAAACACTGAAAAGTTCACTTCGGACTTGATTCCGACTTCAAACACACCGTAAGCTAAACGT